TTTTTTTTTTTTTTTTTTTTTGGTACCGGGGCTCAAACTTGGGTCCTTGTGCTTGCATGGTAGGTGGTGGAACCTCTGAGCCAAATCCCTGGCTGGGGAACAAGATTTATATAAGATTTAAAACAGTGTGTTATAGCTAGGGTCTTGTAACACGAACAGAGAAAACGGTATTCTTACTGTTAGCAAGTTCAGCAAGCTTGGGCACTTGTCACTAGCCCAGGCTGCTTCCTAGTGAGGTCAGGAGCAGAGCTGTCTTCCTGCACAGCCTCTGTTCACTTTTCTGGATTGTGATCCACGTTGGGCGTCTGCTTGGGTTTTTCAGTTGTTGGAAATCCAGCGAGTTTCTCTGGGTCCTTTCTTCACAGAGCTGCAGGGTGGAGGCCGGGCCAGTGGTAGGTGGATGCGGGAGGAAGTCAAGAGTTCTCACTCTGCAGGCAGAGGGAGGAGATGCATTCCCTACAGAAGCGAAGGCGCCTGGGTCAGGTGTGATGACAGCTGTAACCGGGACGGCTGGTGACCCGTTCGTGTGCAGACAGAATTCTCGGACAGGTCTTAGAAGGAAGGCAGAAGGTCCGTGCTGGGAAAGCAGGTCTGGGGATGGCATGGCAGGCGGGGACTGACCTCACTTTCTCTGCACATCTCCGCTCCGCACTCCCTAGGCTGAGTGGAAGGGAAGTGGATAAGGACTGGGGCAGACCCAGGCGTGGTGCTGCATGGCTAAGGCGGGAGGAGAGTCGCCACCAACCATTGCGAGGCCAGCGTGGCTGCATAGTGAGACCCTGTCTCAAAAAAAAATTTAAAAAGCCGAAAAAACAAACTAGGGCAGTGGCACCGTTTATGGGGGAAAAGGCTGCACACACCATGCCTGATGTACCTTTGATGCTGCCTGTTGCCACCCAGCTCAGATACTGATAATCTGCTTCTTTATAATTTCCCTGTATGTGTGAAATTTAGAGAAAATGCCAGTCAAGAAACCTAAGTGATCGAGCAGGTTGGGTCTTTTTTTAGGAACCATCTGACACTTGCGCATCTCTCAGCACATAGAAGGTGACTGCTGTGTTTTTTGTTGCTCTGACTGGGTTCCCCAGATTAGTGGTTTAAGCAGGAAATGTTTGTCACCTCCCTTTCGGTGGGTGGAGCGTGGTGGGTGCTTCCAGCCCAGGCTTTCTCGACAGAGGCGTTGGCCCTAGTGCAGCCAGCTGAGGGCTCTCTGGACAGGACCCACTCCAGGGGCTCACTGGGGCAGCTGCCACCAAGGGCCTGGGTCTCTCTACTGAGCATTTTTCCTCGTCCATTTTGCTTTTAGTATCGTGACTAAGAAACCATTTTCTAATTCACGGTCACAGTGTTTACCCCGAAAAGTTTCAGTGTTGTTTTTGTGTGTTTAGGTACCTGATCCACAAGTGAAGTTCCATGGTGAGGGTGAGGTTGGGGTGGAACCTCGGTGTTTGCAGGAGGGTGTCCGGTTGTCCCTCGGCATTTGTTCAGTTTTTTCTTCATTGAATTAGGTTGATGTCTTGTTGAAGGTAATTGACCGTAAATGCAGAGTATCTTCTCTGAAGGACAGTACCATCACTGTTTTGTCCTCTGCATCCGAAGTCAGTTACTAAGTCCTCTCACAGCCACAGAGGTGGGGTTGGAGCCCACCCTTCGGAGAGAGGCTGTCACAGAGTTCCCGGGGCTGCAGTGACTCGTCAGGAAGACAAGGGAAAGGCATCTGCACTGTGACTGTCAGTGGTCTCCGGGGCAGAGGGGCAGCGGAGCCTGTGGTGACTGTCAGCAGAAGAGACCGGCCTGAGCCGTGCTTCCCTGCCTGCCAGTGAGGTCTGCGCGCTCATCGGCCTCACCGAGCCTCACTCTGACGCCTCCCGTGTGCACGAGTCGCGGCCCCGTCTAAGCCTGTCCCCAGCTCCTGGGCCGCCAGCCTTCCCTGCTTTACTTCCCAGGCCCTGCTGTGTGTATGAGGGAATGTTGGGTCTGTCCAGAAATGGGTGGACAGGTGAATGGGAACCCTCATGCCACACCCTGAGCGGAAAGTCCCTACGTTTCGGGTGGCCTGAGTGAGTGAGAAGGGCTGGCTGGGCCCGGCACATGCCCGTGGCAGCACTGGTAGGCAAATTGCCCTGCCGCCTGCTGCTGGGGCTGCACTGCAGTCCTGCTGCAGCCTCTCCCCCGTCTCCGGCATCGGTGGCTGTGGGACCTTCATACCAGGTTGGCTTCAGGAGTGGCTCCCTGCAGAGCAGGGCGCGATTGTCCGCTCTGAGACCAGCGCTGCTGCTGTGCTGAGAGCCCTTTGACCTCTCACCTCTGGTGCCGTGTGCCCCTCCCAGGTGCACACGAGCTGGAGCAGATGCAGCTGATCCTGGAGTCCATCCCTGTGGTACACGAGGAGGACCGGCAGGAGCTGCTGAGCGTCATCCCCGTCTGCATCAGGAGCGACATGACTGAGCCTCACCGGCCCCTGGCGCAGCTGCTGCCTGGGATCGGCCGAGAAGGTAGTGCCATGGCCGCAGGGACGCCTCTGTGTGTGCATGTGTGTGTGCGTGCGTGCATGTGCACATCTGTGTCCTGCGCAGGGATTGTGAGTCGCATTTGCTAAGCGCAGTCTCTAAGGCAGCCACACCCTGTCAGCTGCTGTCCCCTCCAGGCTCCCAGCACAGCCCCTCCCACCCTTCCTCGGCCACGAATGGCACAGATGGCCTAGGTCGGGACCCTGCTGGGCAGGAGCGGCTGGAGGGTGAGGAGACAGTGGCGCCCTCGGGGCTGGGTGGCCATGGGAGTGGGAGCCATGATCTCGGGATCTCGGGACTTGGGACTCGGGACTTGGGAGGGAAACAGCGCATCTATCAGCTGGGCTGATCCCAGTGAGACTCAGGCTGTTAACTTTCCTGTTGGTTGGAGGGTCGCCGTGACAGAGAGGAAGTGCTAGAAAGAACGGGTGTGTGCTGCGCAGGTTTGTGTGCTGGCTTTGGGCCTGGGAAGTGTGCGCCTAGTGCGTGCTTGCATGTGTGTCTGTGTGGATTGTATTGTTCTCTCGTGTAACCCCGTGAAGTGTCTGGTGTGGGGCACGCCTGTCACCCCTGTGCTCTGGAGGCTGGCTGAGGACAGCTTGACCCCGGCCCTGTGACCCAGTGACTCATCCGGGCTTTGCCTCAAGCAGTAGGTGAGGGCTGGCACCCTGGGTCCGCCATGGCGCTGCAGGGAGGAGAGAGGGGGTTTGGGTTAATAGCCAGACCGTCTTAAACCTGCTGCACGCTACACCCACTATTCATATCCCCACTGGGATCAGTGGAAGACAAGGTCTCACTGTGTAGGCCTGCGCTCTGGGGTGGCGTGCCTGGCTGCCTGGCTGGGTACAGGAGGTGGTGGGAGCCGGGGGACGGTTCCTGCAGAGGGACTGCCCTCCCTCGAGCCGGCGCCTGCCTTGCAGCGCTGGACTTCCTGGAGCAGATCCTGACCTTCAGCCCCATGGACCGGCTGACAGCAGAGGAGGCCCTGTCCCACCCCTACATGAGCATGTACGCCTTCCCCACTGATGAGCCTGTCTCTAGCCACCCGTTCCACATCGAGGACGAAGTCGACGACATTCTGCTCATGGACGAGACACACAGCCACATTTACAACTGGGAGAGGTAAAGCCGCCGAAGTAGGAAGAGCGTTTCTGTGAGCCGCGCGTGGGGAGCTCAGTGTTGGTCTGTGGGTCTCTCCTGGACTCTCTGTGGTCCTCAAACAACCTGTGTGTAAACATTAACTATAGTCCCACCTGGGGAGGAGACAGCAGGAGAGTCACATGCAGCTTTTAAAGCAGTCATGAAGGCGTGTCAGTAAAATAATCAGGTCTTTTAAACGTGAGAGTTTGAAGGCTAGAAATCTGAGCTGTGTGTATGTGGGGGGATTAAACCCAGTGAGGGCTGAACTTTGTTCCCAGGCTTTACTTTAATTTTAAATTTTTTTATATTTAGACAGTATCTAAGTTGTCCGGGCTGGCCACTTGTGATCCTCCTGCCTCGGCCTGAATCAGCATTTTAAACTTGCTCTGGGAGTGTCTCGTTTGAGGGTGCTGCACCATGACGTTCAGTCTTTCATTGTGTGCTGGGTGCCCAGGTGCTCTGCCTGGAGCTGCGCTGGCCGCATCGCAGTCCCACCCAGTCCAGCTCTGCAGCAGCTCTGGCATTTGCTGCACTGCTTATGTCAGAATAGAAATACTTATTCGTTCCTGGCAGGTGACGGTTGCATTTTCCCTAGTGGCAGTGAAGTGATTTCAGGATTCTTACATTGGGTGCAGCAGGAACCTCTCTGGTCTGCATGTTGTCGTGGAGCGGGTGATGTGAGGGTGAAGGTCTCGCTTCCTTCAGCTTCGTCAGGGTTCTGGCTTTTTGGGGGAAGTTGAGGCATACAGTTTGGCTGCAAAGTCGGGTTCACCTATGAGGAAGAAGCAGCATTATTCAGAGGCTTCGGGAAGCCAGGATTGGTGGTCAATAATGAGTTTCTTAAATTTTGTATATTTTTATGTTTGAAAAGAAAAGTTTGTCTGTTTGAGAAGTCATTCTTTTCCCCTCCTGGCATGTGGGGCTGTTCATGCTCACACTTCCTGCTCGTTGCCTCTTCTCCCCGCACTGGTCCCTCTCATCTCTGCCTTTTCCGCAGACCTGTTTCCCTCCCACCCACCCACCCTGCTCTCTGCCTCCCGCCTCCCGCCTCCCACCCTGCTCTCTTCCTCCTGCCTCCTGCCTCCTGCCTGCCCTCTATCCCTCCGAGGGGTGGTGCTCACCTGATTGGGCCTCGTCACTCACTGGTGCTGTCGGGACCCTCCCTGTGTCCGCTGCACCTGTTGGCAGCAGAGAGGGGAGTCCTAGGGTGCTGGTGAACATGAGGTGCAAGTGAGGGCAGGGACGGAGGGAGCTGGCTCAGAGGCCATGAGTGGGAATCGCGGGGAAGGCAGGATGGCCCGTGTGCCCGTGTGTGTGTGTGTGTGTGTGTGTGTGTGTGTGCGTGCGTGCATGTGTGTGCGTGTCAGGTCCTCCTCTGCAGTACCCTGCACTGTGTAGGTGATGACAGCAGGGCTCCCAGCTGGGGCAGGCTGCCTTGGCTTCCTCCTGTGCCCTGTAGAGGGGCACAGTGCTGTCACAGAAAGGCCCCAGGGCACTGCAAAGCGAGGTCGCCGTGCCGGAGGAGTGATGCCGCTTTGCTCTCTCCCCAGGTACCATGACTGTCAGTTTTCGGAGCATGATTGGCCTATACACAACAACTTCGACATTGATGAGGTGCAGCTCGACCCCAGGGCCCTGTCTGACGTCACTGACGAGGAGGAAGGACAGGTGGACCCTCGGAAGTACTTGGACGGAGACCGAGAGAAGTACCTGGAAGACCCTGCCTTTGATGCCAGTTACTCTGCCGAGCCTTGCCGGCAGTCCCCAGACCACCATGAGAACAAGTACTGTGAGCTGGAGTGCGGTCACACCTGCAACTACAAGGCACGGTCGGCGTCGTTCCTAGACAGCTTGGTTTGGAGGGAGAGCGAGGTGAACCATTACTATGAGCCCAAACTCATCATGGATCTTTCCAACTGGAAGGAGCAGAGCAGAGAGAAGCCCGACAAGAAGGGCAAGTCCAAGTGCGAGAGGAACGGGTTAGTGAAGGCCCAGATCGCGCTTGAGGAGGCGTCCCAGCAGCTGGCCGGGAAGGAGCGGGAGAAGAGTCAGGGCTTTGACTTCGATTCCTTTATCGCGGGAACTATTCAGCTCAGTTCACAGCACGAGCCCGCCGACGTTGTGGACAAACTGAACGGCCTGAATAGTTCCGTGACCCAGCTAGAGCTGAAGGGCCTGCTGTCCAAGTCGGTGAGCCGGGAGAAGCAGGAGAAGGGCATGGCCAACCTGGCCCAGCTGGGGGCGCTGTACCAGTCGTCCTGGGACAGCCAGCTTGGGGGTGGCGGGGAGGAGCGGTTCCTCATTGACCAGTTCTGCTGCGAGGTCAGGAAGGACGAGCAGGCGGAGAAGGAGCACTCCCACACCAGCTACTTGGACAGGCTCTTCAGCAGGAGGGAGGAGGCCGAGCTGCTGGAAGTGGAGCCGGGCGAGGCCGGGCCTCTGGGGCACAGGGGCGGCGGGGAGGGCTTTCTGAACCACAGTGGGGAGCTGCTGCTGAACCGGCAGCTCGAGTGCATGGGCCTCCCGCCGCTGCCCAGCCCCGCAGGGTCCCC